CCGATCATTATAGGTTTGTAGCTTTATGCAATATATGTGAAAGGTGTTTGCTCGATGTAAAGTTCACTCGTTCCTTCTGCGCTGCATTCTTTACTAAAGACAATATTATATTACAGATGTTCTTCGGCGGAATACTTTCTTGAATGGCTTATAGCATCTTGTTGTATCAATTATGTAGTATATTATGTAGTATAACACTAAAATATTATAAAGTTACTGTAATAGAATATCACCATATTTCTACATTTCCATTCTATATTTCTATTTGTTTAAAAAATATAGAACAAAAATCTGAAAGTATGCACTTTGTACTTTAAATACATTTAAAAACAGTTAAGACACTGAATAAAATTAGTTAATTGCTACATTTATTGTTAACACATAATTGATTAAAATCACTCAAAGAAGTGGTTATTAATTAGCTATAAGTGAACTTTGATAATGAGGAAATATATTGTTACTAATATATGTAGGATTAAAACTAACATTCAATTGATATTTGTTTCTGTAAACAGGGTAGCAAATTACGTGACCCAGGGTTATGAAGACAACTTGTACGGCTCGCACTATGGCACAGGTCAAGGACAAACGGGTAGCGAAACGTACCAAAGTCCTGGTGGTCAAAGTACTCCAAGTAGAGGTGGTAGATCACGACCATCGCAACCACCACCAGCTCCTCCAAGTAATACTTCTAGCAATTCAACGCCCACTGTAGCCTCTGCTAACAATACTCCAACACGAGGAAGATCAATGAGCACTGGTAGGGACACCCTTCCACCACCACCTCCGCCTCCTGGTGAAACTATGTCCCCTCCTCCTATGAATGGTAATTACATTAACATTTATAATCAATGAATGCAGCGTAACGTCGAATATGGATTTAAATTTTAGAAGAGTGACTCTAGTTTTAATTTAACACATTTAAATCTGGTATATTAGTATATTTTTGTTGTAAGATCTTTGTAAGATGATAAGGTTTGAAATCCTGATGTCCTTAGTTATGTCATGTTTTTATTTTAACTTTAATCCAACCAATAACCATTACCAATGTGTGATATATTTTTCCAAGATTTCTAATAGTGACACAATATGCTATTGGTATGGAATGAATTAACAATGTACACGTTGTGTGTATAACATCTGAAAAATTACTTTTTATCTGTGTGTGTTATTAAAATAACCATTTAAGTTAGAAGTAAGTTTTAAACTAAAAATATGTAGACCTTTATTCGAGACTACGCTTCATTTGTATTAAGTTATTCAGATGAAGATATAATTTGTATTAATTGTTTCATCAATTATTTCAGGTTCAATACCGTCTCATCTATTGAATAGGAACGGAAGTCGTTCAAACAGTCCACTACCCAGTCATCATTCTACGCCTACTCCACCGAATCATTCTACACAAATAGGAACAGATGAAACCGATCCTGCACCACAAGACTTGCCGCCTCCACCTCCAACTCCCGATCCTACACCGCCTAGACCTATTTCTCCACCATGTAATATTCCACCACCGCCTCCTCCACCTCCACCTCCGCCTGTTGCTAACGGACCGTCGCCCCCAATGCCATTAACCAATGGCGATATTGCTAAAATGATAGCGACCAATCCACCGAAGTTGAAACCCCTGAAACCTTTGAAGAATATTGTGGATGGGCAATTGAGGAAGCCCGTTAATCCGAACATCCCCCTTGTCGACCCGCGAAATGATCTACTTAAAGCAATTAGAGATGGTAATTATCCTATTATTCGGTTAATTAAAATTAGCCCTTTTCAATTCATTCGATACATTAAATTGCCAGCAGGTAGAATTTACTTTAAATATTAATATCACTTAACATATCTTTGAACAGAAGTTATCGTGGATTTAATTTATGTAATATAGTAAATTTTTGGGGACAACATGGGATATGAAGTTGTGCCCACTAGATAAGAGTTTGTTTTATATTGTAATTCAAACTCATTTTATAGAACTAATCATTATCTATATCATTGTCCATATCTTTTTAAAGTTTCAAATACAAATCTTTAAAAGATTTAAATTTGATTTTTTATAGTACAGCATTAGATTGAATTGGTAAAGATTAAAATTATCGGTAGAATTCCTTTAAAAATTTATTTATTTTTGTAGGAATAAAATTACGTAAAGTAGAGAAGATCGAACAGAAGGAAGTGGAACGCGTGAACGCATTGAACGACGTCGCATCTATATTGGCCCGACGTGTTGCTGTTGAATTCAGCGATAGTGACTCAGCATCGGAGAGCGAATGCGACAGTGAAGGATGGGGCGAGCAGGAAACGAATCTCGCGTGACCCAGTTCGCTTCCATCTACTGCCACTGCCTCCTAGAGAAATGGCTGACGATTCTTTCGTTTCGTTTGTTCCCAACGAAAGTTTGATTTTTGTTGCCCGTCGCACAAGTCACGCGCTTTGTTTGCGTGTAGTTGTCGAGTAGAAATAATTTGATTGGTGTACACCGAAGGGGCACCGGATTTGAAAGTAGAAACAGAACCAGCGAATTTCGTTACTCGATTGTTTATGTTGAGTTTTGTTAATACAGAGAGCATATAAACAGGAATTATTATTAGTATCATTAAAAGTATAAATGTAGTATTACAGCAACGATTATTTTTATTATGTACCATTTTATTACCTTTAACAGGGTTACTTTCTTTTTTGTTATGAAAGAATATTTAATAACTTTTTTTTTGTATAAAGTAAATAAAAAGAGATTTGTTTTCATGTTAATCGCAAGCTCAATTTTATAGCATGTATTTATCTGAAAAAATCGGTATATAAATATATAGCTTTTCTTAGACGATTCTAGGAATCGTCAGCCAGAGGTCTTTTATTTATTTAGGGAGAATCTATAAAGTGAATGTAGCAGAAGAGTCTAAGTTCATGTAAATTTAGAATATTTTTGAGGAGCTATATAATACATTTTCCTTTATCGACAGACGCTTCCACTTTGTTTCACTGTTACAAATAAAAGTATAAAAATTTACAAAGCATATATAATTGCATGTTTCTTTCGATTCTCCGATTTTTAAGCAGAATTCAACGAACGTAAAGCAGATTATCTAGAGTAATAAAGGACACGTGAATAAGAAGAAGGTACGCACACGAAATCGTACGTCGATTTCCTATCATTGCTCGATGTCGATTGTAGAGGAAGTGATTTCTTTTCGGCACATTCCATGATAATACTAATACTACGTAACAGAACAAATTTTACTTTTCGTTCCGGACATCCGTTCGTCCATGTTACAATGACGATGTATGCAAGTCCTTAGCAATTGCTCTGTATATGTTATAATACATTGTACGTGAGAGTGCGTATTGTACGTGAACTAAACCAAACAGCAGAGCTAATATTTTTGTTCTCCTTTTCGTATATAAGTCTGTAAAATACCTGTACCTTAAATGTTTTTGTATGCTTGTCGATTAGGTAGGTATATGTATGTTCGCTCTATCACAACGAGAGTAATAAAAAGGAGTTTTCCAATTTTTTCTACGTTTCCAAGTGATCTTCCATATCGTGACTACAATAAGCGATATTGTGGAGAACGGAGTTCTTTTTATCAGCGAAGTGTCGAAAACCAAAATACTCCATTTACTTATAAGATGTAAGGACAATGTAATTACCGAACGAGTGAGAGGATTCATATTTTTTAGCATTTAGTGGGAGAAACTCTAATAGGGGAAATATACTACTGTTGCAATGAGAATTACAGTTGCCAATTTTAAGCGTAAAAGAAAAATGATTGTGATTTATTTTGCATCGATGTTGGTGGAATATGATGACTATTGGTAAGATACGATATATATGTATACATAAACAATCTATATATATATACATATTGATCGTTAAGATTATTGTATAATCTTATGCGCTTGAATGATGACAAATGTTCAGGAAATCTGTTTTTGTCCCACTCGTTTCCGAACGTTACCTAAATGTTTAAAGAAACAAGAGGAAGTCTTCGTTATGTAAGAGAGGGTAAAGTTGAGAGAGCCTCTTGTTGGTTGGTTAGTTGGTTGAATTAGCAGTTTTCTTTTATTAAGTACGAAAGAAGTTCGATTGACTCGAACCGCGCGAAAAGTAATTTATATTTAATAATAATTTTCGCTGACGTTTAGGAAGCAGCGTTTTATCTTGTATAAAGTGTGCGAGGTTAGGGAGGCGAAGCTGGATCGCTCCACAATGTAGCATACAATTCACCGGCAACGACACATGTACATTCACATGATTTTAAAGTATAGTCAAAACGCTATTATATTATAATAATAATATTAATAATAACATTAATAATAATGTAATGAACAGTTGTTCAGTCTCGTCTGTACTATGTTTATACATATATATACATACAAAGTTAATATAATTCGCAGTATAAATTCGTTAGATAGTAAGACTACTAGCCGTAGGTATATACTTTTAGCTACTTCGCCAACTACGACACAGTATTTATGGAGAATTTTTTTGTAACACGATGGAACGATGAGAAAACGTTTCGATTGTAAGCTTAAATATCGTGCAACTTTGTATGAATGTATATTATATCGTCGATCGTGCTTTCTGCGAAGATATCGCGTACTAAACTATTGCGAAGCTGTTGTACCTAAATAAGACGGTTATTCCAAAGCTTAATTAAGAGAATTATTCTCGTCTTTACTAGACGCGAAAGGAGAGATCGAAATCATTTCGTACCTTTTCCCTTTTGTTTTTACTTACAAACCTCGTACTCGCTCATCAGTCTTTTAAATTTTTCTGCAGGTGCAAAGTAAATATAAGCCTCTCTCTCTCTCTTTCTCGGCTATCAATAAAATAATAGATAACAAATTTCTGATAATGATAAATAAAAACGTTAGTTTACGTACTCCAAATCCATTGCAATAAGAGTGATTTCATTCATCGTGTACGATAAAACAGTATGTCAGGCAAAAACTCAACCATAATACCCATATGATGATTACAAATGTACGACGGTATTATTAATAATAATAAATTTGTAGCAAATCTGTACAGAGCCAAATAAATCAAAAACTTTCATAAATCATCGGAGAATCGTTTCTTTTATACCGCAATGAGAGTAGAGAATAAAGAGTTAGTCACATTACTAAGTTCTAATATAATATTGTATTTCGTTTCATTTTTAATTTATTTTTAATGTTTATTTAGACATTTTGATAATATGTTAAGTGAGTTATATAAAATATTATAAGTACCTTTATTTTAATAAATATTATAACCACCTTTTAGTACTTTGAATTCATAAATGTTTCTGTAAATCTATATATGAAAGTTACACTACTACTTGTTTTCTTATCATAAAATAGTAAAAGATTTTGTACATTGTATTATTTCATTACGTTATGTATAACTATCTTTTATTTCTTTTTATTGCAACATAAGTTTTATAACAAGTTACATACTTGAAAGATATATTCCATGAAATGTACAACATGTTTCTTCTACAGGAAATGTTCCAAAAATTGTTATCTACTTTTAATAACAAAGCAAGGTAACTGAGAGGTTATTGTTCTGTAATTATCATTTAATAAATGATCATCACAGAAACTATAGTGGATTTAACATAATATCATATAGATGGGAACATGAAGTTTTTGAAATTGTAATTTAATGAATTTTAATAAATTTTTGTTTATGTAGCATGTAAATGTAAACGTTTGAAAAAAATATGTAATAATATAAATATGAAATTGTATTTTTTTATTTTTATAATAAACAAAACTTTTAAACATGACACCAATTTAAAAAATTTGTTAAATGCTTTTAAAGTATTTATATAGTTACTAATAATAAACTTACCACCTGAACATGCAAATAAAAAAAGAAAGGAAGACCGCAGTAGCGATTAGGAATTAGTACAATGAAATAATTAACAATTTCAGTTCATGAATTAATAATAGAAATTTGGAATTTTTGACATCATTTGATATTTGACATCGATACTTAATCCCATAGCCATTTCAAAGATGCAACATTTTCCCGCTACAAAAATACCTAGCATATCCGGCTGCGGCCAACTTCCAGTTGGCGGTAAGGGGGCATATCGGTAACAAATGGTGTAATATTCTCACGCGTCAAAGTGAAACATTAAATCTCAAAACGTTTCGTGAAGTAGAGATATCGCTGATTGACGTTTTAATTACTTTACGTAGATCAAGATTACAAACTGTGAACATTTCTTCGGTAGTAATATACTACATGTGAAAAAAATGAAGTTACATAGTGTAAATCGTATAATGATACACGTGGGAAATGAACTGGTGTGAGTGCGGGATCCTATAATACTACCGCGTTGTCCGTTACAATCTGCTGTAGAAGATTCTAGATTTTCGACTGCCCATTGGAATATTTAATCAACATTACTGAATAGGCAGCTTTTTAATAGTTTTTACAACTTTTATTCCATCTTGACGTTCAATTGCAACATAGTTATGTATTATCGCTATTACATCCTAAATTTTGATTATGGATTAAGATATTTCATCACTCCTGCATAGAATAGATTGTTCTCCAACCAGTAGGGCAATTACTTTACGATTGAAGGTACATATATAAAATAAAGTAACGGAAAAGCAAGTGCCTGCGAAATCGTTCCACACACTATAATTTTTTCGTCTATATTTCTGAAATTAGGCTTTTCGGTTAGATTTTTTTGATATAACAGCGTAGAGTGAATTCTGCCTTAAAGGGATTGGATATTTTTTTTTGGTTTCGAGTGTGCGTTTTCGAGAAATAGTGTCGGAAGTGTCAGTGGCTAGCAGATCGAGCTGCGCAATTTACTTTTTTGGCCTCTAGGTTTTGAATTAGGCTTTTTGATTCGGTTTTTTCCATTGATTCGCGTAGAGTGATTTTTTCCTTACCGGGATTAGATATTTTTTTTCTGTTTCGAGTGTGCGTTTTCGAGGAATAGTGTCGGAAGTGTCAGTGGCTAGCAGATCGAGCTGCGCAATTTACTTTTTTGGCCTCTAGGTTTTGAATTAGGCTTTTTGATTCGGTTTTTTCCATTGATTCGCGTAGAGTGATTTTTTCCTTACCGGGATTAGATATTTTTTTTCTGTTTCGAGTGTGCGTTTTCGAGGAATAGTGTCGGAAGTGTCAGTGGCTAGCAGATCGAGCTGCGCAATTTACTTTTTTGGCCTCTAGGTTTTGAATTAGGCTTTTTGATTCGGTTTTTTCCATTGATTCGCGTAGAGTGATTTTTTCCTTACCGGGATTAGATATTTTTTTTCTGTTTCGAGTGTGCGTTTTCGAGGAATAGTGTCGGAAGTGTCAGTGGCTAGCAGATCGAGCTGCGCAATTTACTTTTTTGGCCTCTAGGTTTTGAATTAGGCTTTTTGATTCGGTTTTTTCCATTGATTCGCGTAGAGTGATTTTTTCCTTACCGGGATTAGATATTTTTTTTCTGTTTCGAGTGTGCGTTTTCGAGGAATAGTGTCGGAAGTGTCAGTGGCTAGCAGATCGAGCTGCGCAATTTACTTTTTTGGCCTCTAGGTTTTGAATTAGGCTTTTTGATTCGGTTTTTTCCATTGATTCGCGTAGAGTGATTTTTTCCTTACCGGGATTAGATATTTTTTTTCTG